TGTTTCTTTGTTTGAATATGGAGCTTATCACATGCTGTGTGGTATCGGCGTTTGGTATCGGGGCATTTTAACGAGTACGAGTACAGGAGACCAGTATCTGGCCCGATACCGATACTAGTATCGGTGCATCCCTAGTAATCATTACAGTAGAGATGTCTATGTTCCTTTTTGTGATGAAATTAGTTTCTTGTTGTCCAATGAAGAGATGTCTCCTCAGTGGAGCTCCTGATTAAGTATCACCAAGGGATCCGTGCTGAAATTGAGACGCGTGGGCCAAAGTTTAATCAGTGTGTGGAGCTGGGCCGGGCCCTCCTGGAACGCAAGCATAAGGACTCTGCAGAGGTAATCAGACACGGAAGGTAGCAAGTGTAGCTACAACGAAGTGTCCGGAAAGGCATCCATTTTCATGTACACTTCTTGTGCTCACAGATTAAAGAGAAGCTGATGCAACTGGCAGAGAAGAGGAAAGAGATGATGCTCAAATGGGATGAAAGATGGGAATGGCTTAGACTTTGTAAGTCCACAAATGTCAACAAACACACATGAAAAGACACACACAAACATACACACTACTGCATATTACAGCTGCTTATAATTATATCTCCTCCTAGTGTTGGAGGTATGTCAGTTTGCCAGGGATGCATCTGTGGCAGAGGCCTGGCTGATTGCCCAGGAGCCATACGTGGCCAGCAGGGATCTGGGTGAGACAGTGGATGAGGTCGAAAAACTGCTCAAGAGACATGAAGCCTTCGAGAAATCCACTGCTACATGGGAAGAGCGTTTCTCAGCACTGGAACGTCTTACAACAGTATGTGTGTTTTAAACTTTGACATATTAAACTCATTAATGATACCTCAAATTATGTGAATTGTTTTCATTGCCAGGCACCACTCACTGACTATTAATAATCTGTTGTAGTTGGAGCTGTTGGAAATTCGGAAACAACAACAGGACATAGAACAGTACAGACAAGAGGCGGAAAAAGAGAGCAGGTATATATACACAATCTGGGTAACACTGTACTTCCCTAACGCCATATTCCATACTAAAATTTGACATTCAAACTTTGACCTTAGGAGAGAAGACACTGGGTTTGCAGAGGAGTCTTCACAACTCTACACCACAGAAGAACAGTCTCTGGTGAGTTCCAGTTTTTGTAGGAATCTCATCATCTTTCTCTTCATTAACAACATTCTTCTTATCAGATATTCTTTCACATTTCATGTTGTCATCTTCTGTTGCAAATACAGCATACAATAACCTATAATATAATTTTACTTTTTGTACTGCAAATGTTTGTTATAATTAATACCTGTAATACTTGTTTGAATCTGTACCCAAACTTTGTTCTTTTGTGATCTTCAGTCTGGTTTAGGAGTAATAGAGCCAAGTTCCGTGGGAGTTGATGGCACAGCGGGGGACTCCACTGTGCCTTTGATCTCAGAGATGCAGGAAAGTGGCTCACTGGAGCTGGACCCTTCCACATCCATCCAGGTTACCAAAGAGACAGAAAAAGCAGCCACACTTCCCACTGAATCTTCACAAGTTCAATCAGCCTTGATGGAGGGACCTCTATCCCGCAAACATGAGATGGAGGGACCTAATAAGAAGGCATCCAACAGGTTAGCTGTTGTCTAGAGACAACCAGAAGTATCCAAGCCATTGACCAGAATACAACAGTGACTTTGGCTAAATCAAAAGTAGTCATCATTTTACTAGTGAACTTAATTTAAAACTGTCCACCTTCTCATCTCTTGTCTTAGGTCCTGGAACAACATTTACTGTGTGCTTAAACCTGGGCAGCTCTCTGTTTACAAGGATGCCAAGAGCTTTAGTCACAGTGTCACCTACCATGGTGAGGAACCCCTGAACCTCACCAATGCTTCTTGCGAGATCTTGACTAACTATAAGAAAAAGAAGCAGGTGTTCAAACTCCGGTAAGGTTCTTGGTCATCAATCTTGATATTATTTTTTAAATAAAAATGTATTTAAGTGTTGTGATATATATTACATATAGGGCTTACTTGTTTTATCCTTGTTCCATTTGCCAGACTTGAAGATGGAAGTGAATATCTGTTCCAGTGTAAAGATGAGGTGCGCTATTGACTGCTTCTTCTAATTAGTTCCTTATTAGTTAATATAATCTTTGAAATATGCCAGTAAACAACATTAATTATGTATGTTTTTTTGACCACAGGAGGAACTCCAGAACTGGACTCAGGCTACAGAACAGGCAGCACAAGCTGTGACAGCAGAACCAGTTGCAGGGCCATCAGGAGTGAAGGCACAAAGCCTACCTCCACCTTCTTCCTCTACTCTAGAGGTTCCCTCAACCAAGAAGGAAAAGGAGAAGAGGTTTAGTCTGTTCGCTAAGAAGAAATAAACTCCTGGACAAAATGTGACACAGGTGAAATGGAACAGATTTATAACACCATTTTTTTTTTACATTATATTAGTTTGTAAGAATTTAGCTATATGAAATGTAGATTACACTGCTGCCTGTATCTAAGCTAATGAAGTGTTGCAAATGTCCACACGTATGCTTTTTTATGTTTTGCTGTATTTTTCTGATACTAGAGTCACATACCACATTCACTCTGTATACAAATAAAAGCACAGGAACCAATCAAATTTAACCAAAAATATTTGTAAGAAAAAAGGAGTTCTTCTTGTCTTGATTTTTTTTATGTGTTGAGTTTCTTCTAGGCATGCTTCAGTATGTATTTTGACTATAAATAACATGCTTAGTTTTGTTAATCTGCTTTATTCCTTTAAAATGGTTGCAAATGTAATACTGTGCTCTTTGCATCGGAACTTATAGAATTTAAATAGAGGTTGACATTGGAGAGGTGTTTCTTTTTGTAAATGGTCATCAGCTAGCAGGAGGTGTGATGATGGTGTTTAACACTGTAGCGTTAACATGCACTATATGCAATAAGCACAGTGTTTAGTGTTCTTTTAGACTGTTTAAGTGTTGTATTTTTCATTATTCCAACAAACTTATGAATATTAATATTATCATAATATCATATTCAAATGTGAACATATTCATGCCATTATATATGAATGAATTAAGAAGTACAGCCATGGTACTAAAGAGAATACAAAGATGAGAGAGGTAGATTTTTTTCTTTCCAAAACCTTAACTATGTTGAATGCTTTTGCAAAGCATGAACTGATATATTTATTTAATATGGTGCTATATCTTTAAGATAAGAGTTTTACCCTCTCATAACTCAGGTTCCCTAGTATTAGTCACATTATAAATGCCCTTACACAAGGACAGAAAAACCAAAATGTATCTCTCACATCATCATAACTGATTAAAATTTGAAAGTGTGTGTACAGCTTGGATAATGCAGTATAAATTAAACGTGGCAGCCAATGAATGTTTGAAAACATGGAGAATAGTGTGTCATACAAATATGAATGTAGAAATAATGGTAAAGGGGACATTTTACCTGTAACATAATAATATTAATCCTAAATACATTTAAACTGAATGCTCATATTCTGATCATGCTAATTAAATATTAATTACTTATATTTTAACTAAGGTTTTGAAATGTTGTATCAAAACAGTAAAACAGTACATCGAATTTAACACAGAACTGAAGTGCCCTATTTCCAAAGTCTTAGTTTTTTTTCAGTATTATATTAATATGGATATATATGGATATATCCATACTGTTTCTGCCAGGCACTGCAAGCTAAAATAAGCAATATATTTTTTTTATTTGCATTTTTTCTTTTGATTATTATTTTTTCTTTTTTTTTATTGCAGAAACATTTTTAACAATAGTTAAATTTCATCTCACTGTTGATTTCTTGGATATGAATATGTTTACAGAGTAATTTTTTTGCGAGGGTCAGCATGGTGCTTTATTAAGATGGTGGTTTTTTTTGGCCATTACATCTTGGACCTCCAAATCTTTCTCTCTCTCTCTCTCTCTCTCTCTCTCTCTCTCTCTCTCTCTCTCTCTTTAAACACACTGCAGTCTACGTTAGAATGAACTCCCTTTCAACTAATATGCCTCCATTCTCTCTTCTCCTTTTATATCTGTATGTTCAATGCAAAATCACATATAATAATTTGAAAGCAAGGTATGACTCATTTTAGGAGCATAAAAATCAATAAACTATCTGTTTGCAGTAACCATTGCCCATTTTTGTCTGTTTAAGGACTTGTAGTGTGTGTTTCTATCTGAGTCTTATTTACATTTCAACTAGTCTGATCAGGTAAAGTTGAATTAACTTCACTAAGTAAAATGTTATTTAAAATTAATGTTAAAACATACCGCTCTTGTTCTGTAGAAGACACTGCTGTGCTGAGTAAGTGTGAGAATGTAGTAAGAAAATAGTGATGTGTTTAGTTCATGAAATTCATGGAGTAACATTTACACTACATCCACTCAATGTCAAACTAAAATCATTAGACGTTGATCTTTTGTTGGTTTTAGGTTGTGGCATTAACACTACCACTAAGCAATAAAACTAGTACGTTAATACAGACTCAAGATTGTGTTGTGCACGAATTAAACGTCATGAACGTAAATGACATATTTTGGATTTAAATACGACTATTAAATCTACAGTAATCGATGAACCAACGACAAAAAATATTTTTGCTTTTTAAGTTGCATTTAAAATTTGAATAAAAAAACTGAGGGGCACATGACGCTACTATTCATGACCTTCATAAATCAATGCTTCGAAGGTTAATCCAGCGTGTAATAATAGTCCAAAGAGGATCATTTTAAAGGTAGAGGATTCATAAATGCACGGAAGTGTGCGAAACAAAGTGTACATTTTCAAAATGTACAAAAACATACATTTTACCTGCTGAGGGTGCCATCGAGCTGCGCCGTTGAGGGCTAGTTGTCCCGACAACAGTTTGGGCTGTTGGCCACGTCATTTTGAATGGAACCCGGTACTCACAAGCCTGCTATTGGTCGGTTTACTAGCACCCGCCTGTGTTTCCGCGCAGCTGATTGGCTGTTGAGCACGTCACTCTCCTGTGCTGTTCGTGCGGTGCAGGTTGAATGCGCGGCGACAAAGTAACTCCAGCAATCGCTGAGAGTAAATGGAGAGAAGTTGAACCTTAATCGCGCAAGTCCGTATAGATTTATTTTTTATGTATCCGTAACCTTTCACTATTGGGATTGTAAGTCATTTCAAAGTTTTAAAACTGTTACCTCAAAGGATGTCTTTTTATTTCCAGAATGGATTTGATTCGCGTCCCCTGCATTGTTCTGCTGTGGACAGTAGTGTGGAGTACCTAAAGCCTTAGAGGAGTCCGACACACTTTGTTTTTTATTTATTTTTTTAGACGCACCTTCAGTTGCAAACAATTTTAACTCTTGCGTGGGTATTTTGTGTGCTGTTCCCCCCCCCAAAATGGATATTACAGTGTCCGAACTCATGTCTAACTTCATGGATTCGCCGCTTGTGGTTTGGGTAAGTCACAAAGACATGATGGCACCTGCTGTGTGCGCGCGGAGTTTGTATTTGCGTTGTGTAGTTTGTTTAGCAGCGGCCAGTGACAGTGCAAACCTGAGCAATACTAATGTGGGCTTGATGCTTTATGTTTGTATCAAACCTAGTGGAAAGAGACTAACATACTTTTCATTTAGCAGATGTGTATGAGCGTATTAAATTATGCTTAAACTTTATTGCAACATTTTGTTGTTTTTTTTATCTATATTTTAATACATACAAAGTGCTAAAAGTTGTAATTATTTGTTCTTTTTATTTTGTTCATATTTTATTCTCTACTTATGTAATATACGTTTTAAAATTAATAGTTGTTCTTACTATATATATTTATTTATTTATTTTAAATATAATGTAACAAATATGATTTATTATTATATATTTTTTAATGAATCCCACTAGGTAGAAATGTTTTTAAACCTGTACACACAACAGTTTAACATTAGTACTTTTTGTGTGCATACTTCTTCATTCTACACGAAGAGTTTAATGACACTTGACAGGGTTTGGCGAAACCTGCGGAACTTCCTCTGACCCCCTTACCCTGACCCCTGTGTCCTGTTTGGCTGTGCTTTCTCTGGCCACTGTGTTTCCAACTCATACGTCACCATCTTAACCACATTAGACAATCATCAACACTTCCATGTTGACATGTGTGCTGTGTCATGATACTGTATAACACTGAAAGAAACATAAACGCACACATTGAGTTGAACACAGACTGTTTGACAAACAATATTTACTTTGTATTTATTAAAAACGATCTTACAAGTTTCTCTTTATAAATGTGTTTTAAATTTTGTAAACTCTGCAGTTCAGTTCTGAAACAGAAAGCATGCTTGTGCAGCTGTGCGTGTATCCTGTCATGATATTACTACCTACTTTATTTGATCGATATATTTATTTTTTTTACAGGTCAAGACTTTTGGACCCCTTGGGTCCGGTTCAGAAGACAAACTCTCCATGTTCATGGATTTAGTGGATGGTGTCTTCCTCCATAAGATAATGACACACATGTGAGTGACAGATGCAGAACTGTGTGTGTGTGTGTGTGTGTGTGTGACTGTGCCTACATGCTGTAATCTAGCAGCTGTTACGAGCCTATCTTTTTTTTAATTCGAAACCACATCCTATTCTTTCCTGCCTGACATCCAACTGTGCAGACACTCAATCCGAATCTTCACGCTCCATCAGTTTTGTTCCTCTTCCATAATTATTGTGTCAATAAAGGGTCTCCGGCTGATTTGGGGCTGTACTTTGCCAAGAGTTTTTAAGGTCATGTGTAACATCAGTTTGCAAGCATGCGGTATAAACTTCAGCCGCGTCTGACTGAATGTTAGGCCACGGAAGTTTCGGCTAGCTCAAGCTGTAACCTCAGCTAACAGGTGACTAGGCAGCAGCACTGTCGCTTGTGAGTCTTACTAATGAACAAGGAAATCTCTTCTTTTGAGAGTATTTGCATCATGCAAAGCAGCTCATTACACATATTTTGACACCTAGAGTTTGTGCATCTAGATTGAGCTTTATAAAACTACAGTTTTCGACTTCTTGAAGCCGCTGCATCAGCTTTGTCCTTTAACCTACTTTTACTCGAGAAGCTTTGCCGCCCTCTCTGGCTTAATCAGGGGCTTAAACACTAGACCACCTCCAGACAAAGGAAATATTTTCTCTATAAATGGGGGTGGGGGGCATGTCTAATGGGAGGATGGACATGTACTGTATTAGCTGTCCTCAGACACTCTTGTCGCTGTCTTCAATAGATTATTGTACACTGGTGTGTGTCATGTCACTTAGGGCATGAACTGCATCAGTTTTATTCCTCTAGTTGCCTTAAAGTCAACATGAAATGGCATTTGGAACCCGTTCTTCCTTCAGGAAGTCAGCATGAAATCAAAGCTTGTAATTTTAATGCAGTATTGAAGTGTTTTTTTAATAAACTCTTTATCCGTGCACATTTTTTTGATGATATTTCCATTGGTGCAAGGACAGGGCAATAATCCCTTCCAGCAATTCTGAGAACGTTTCACTCGCATATGTATCATAATAGAGAAGAAAAGATAATCACAATTTCTGTTGCATGCTGATTTAAAGATGATAAAAAAGTTTTAAAGCATCTTTAAAGTTGCGTTCACTACAGCCAGATACACATTCAGATGAACAGATTGTTAAATAAAAAAAAGGGAAATCTTGCCTTGGCAGCAAACTGAAATAAAATGTTAATAAATAAAATAACTAATAAGTATGAATTAAGTTAAATAAAAAAATGGCAATCTTGCCTTGGCAGCTAACTGAAATAAAATGTTTATTAATAAAATAACTAAGTATTAAAAGGACTAAAAGTAAAACAAACAAATAAATCTTAAATTAAAATGAAAACTGAAAATATAAAATAAAATCTATTATACTATTTAAATTAACACTGGTAAAAACTAGCCCAATTCTATATAAGCTGTTTCTAAGAAAAAATAATAAGATAAATATAAGGAAATAATACAAAGAAACATAATTTTGATCAGGGTCAAGTGAACACAAAACCAGACATATTATACCTAGTTGATTATAGTTTTACAACCTAAAATTTACGTAGTATATATGTGATGTTACAAGAATAATAAATCTTGTACATCGTTAGTATGAAGACTCACATACTCAGGTGTCCAGTGAATTTCCACTGAACCATTACAAATGAGTGGAGATGTGGAATGTTGAGGGCAATGTACAAACTGCTCCTTTCTCCTCACCCACATCCATTTTTAATATGCCCACACCAGTATGCCTGTAGCAAACCGATAGCCTTGACAGTGTATTCATTCACCAGGTATGTGGTAACACCATCGCTGTTATGCTAACGCATCCCATCTGGCAGATGTCCTCTGCATGCACCCTATCGGTCTTCCCTTGACTTTTACTAAACAATCATTGTTTTTCCAACCATGCTGTCAGTTGCAATATCCATGCTCGTAAAATGCCACAAAAAGTGAAACTCAATGCAGTGTTCTTGGCTTCAGGCAATAGAAAACAGTTGAGCCAGACAACTGACCCTGATCTTTTAAGGTTCTTTCACTTCCAAGCGGGAATTTGTGGGCCAAGCTGGCAGAATTTGCATGCCATTTTCACAAAACAAATGTAAATGAGGATTGCACAAACAGAGTCTATGTAGGACCTCAGAACTGTCTGTGCCAAGACCAGGACCCACTTACTGGCTTCAACCTTTACATCCAATGATCCAGTCCAGTGATATGAAAGCCTGATTACTTGTTATATAAGAATAACTTGGAATTTTTTGTTGATGTAAAGGATATAGTTTATTCAGAACAAGGATTTGTTTGTAATCCAAGAAAAAAAAAATCTGTATGCAAAGTAAAGTAATGCAATGCTCCAAAGTGTAATGCAAAGGTCATGTCACTGCATTCCAATTAAAATTATTGATGTGCAAAACTATGTATCTTATAAATCCAAGTTTTCAGCATTAATGGCAGATCATTCAGAATGCTTTTTGTTGTTTTGGAAAAATTCCTACTGAATATGAATTAGAATAAAAGAGCAAAAGATTTAGTTTTTATTGTTTATCTGTGGAAATAGTGAGAGAGATATGTTGCATTTGGAAAGAGACATGAGAGATTCCAAATATAGCCAAGTGTACTCCATTCATGATATTTTGATAAAGAATAGAATAAAAGAAAAAGAGAAAGAGAAAGTCAAGAAACTGCAACACAACTTTTTGTATTGTTAATCAGATTAAAAATATGTACCAAGATAGTTATTACTTGAAAATAAAAATGAATAAAAATACAGCTCAGTTTATGAAAGTGATGGATAATAATTAGGCCTATTTGTAGCGCAGCCTCAGGGTGGGTTGTTTGAACGACTAGTCGACTGGTCTTGAGGAAATCATGTATAATTGGTTTCACCAAACCGTTAAAAAGTAAACTAGTCAACCTCACTAATTAACTAGTTGTTGAACTACCCAGCCATTATAAAAGTGCTTATGTGAGATTTTCAAATGTACTCTTGTTGCTCTTGGTCCACAGAGACCCAAGCCCCATGAATCAGCGAGTCAACAAACAAGTCAACAATGATATCAACCTGAGAATACAGAACCTCAACACTGTCATCCGACACATCAAAAACTACTACCAGGTGAGATCTCTTCCTCCATGTCCTGTTGCAACGAGAAAAGTACTTCCTGATCACTACTTTTTTTTTAAAGACCGCTTTGTGTATGTGTGTGATTGTATTAAATGCCAGACAGCAGCTGGTCTCTGCAGACATAAGGTGGTGATTCCGGTGTCATGGGGATTAAACTTGTCTGCAGATGTGACTGAAATTGTGGGTAGCTGGGCTCTTTATTTTTATCTGCATAGAAGAGATTCTGTTACGTCAAGTCTGTTTAAACTTCTGATCCTAATTATTATGTGAAGGCAGCCAGTAAGGGATGTGTAAACCTATGTACAGTATCTCACAGAAGTGAGTACACCCCTCACATTTTTGTAAATATTTTATTATATCTTTTCATGTGACAACACTGAAGAAATGACACTTTGCTACAATGTAAAGTACTGAGTGTACAGCTTGTATAACAGTGTAAATTTGCTGTCCCCCTCAGAATCACTCACACAGCCATTAATGTCTAAACCGCTGGCCACAAAAGTGAGTACACCCCTAAGTGAAAATGTCTGTACACTCACTACTTTACATTGTAGCAAAGTGTCATTTCTTCAGTGTTGTCACATGAAAAGATATAATAAAATATTTACAAAAATGTGAGGGGTGTACTCACTTCTGTGAGATACTGTATATTCTAAATCAGCAAGTTGGTCGGTCAAGCAGAGCAAAGAAAAGCAAAGAAAAATCTACTAGCTGACCTCCCTTACTGATCAGTTGGTTGTTGGACTAGTTGACCCTTCTCACTCATCCATCGTACATACTAGGAATGCATGATTATATTGGTTAAAATAAAAAAAATTTATCAATAGATATCAGATATATATCAGCCAATATTAGAAATTTACATTTTCACATTTTTTTAATATAACTTATGCCATCCAAAGCTAAACTTAAAAACATTTTAAATGTTCTGTTTAGCAAATTTCATAATGAATATTCAGTTTCATACTGTATGTACATATGTATGTTCACTAATGGCAGTAAAACTGTTTATTTGAGTGTATTTTAATTTAATAATGTTTTATTTTGAATTTATTTAGATAAAATAGTGAATAATTTTAATATTGGCCATTTACTAACCATAACATGAAAATAATTATTGGATTATTAGTATTAACAAGATTTTAATATCATATTTTAAAATCATTGTATATATCACACTGATGTGTTTTGTGAACACATTTTTAGAATGTATTTTATATGGATGTTCATTGGGATAATATAGGAGTAAGAATGGTTTGCAGGAAGGTGAAGGTGGTCTATAAGAGGTTGAAAGTTTTTACGAGAGACTGTAGTTGTAATCATAGTAATTATTGTGAAGAAAACAGGGAGACATGAAAGGACAAGGTCTTTCTCAACACCATATTGAGTCACTTCACTTCACTTCACTTCATATTAGAGAAAATGTAGCATTGACTCATAATATCGGGTCTCATAGAAAACAGTTCTCACTCACAATTACTGCTGGAAGTAATTTTATGTTTTTATGGTTTTATGTTGTTGGTTTTGGGAGTTGAAATCTTTTGACTGGTTTGGTTGGTTCTGGGCAGCGTCCCACCATCTGAGTAAGCGTTTGCCACATCTGACCCCCTTTTCTCTTGGCAGAGCGTCTCAGAAGCATTCCTGCTCCGACCTCACTGCTTTCCATCCCAACTTAGATAAAGAAGACCGATTGTGTGTCAGTTGCTGGGAATTGACTGGGTTTTCTACTCGCGCTTGTTTACGAAATAAAATGTAGATAAATAATTTGTTCACTCATTTTATTTCTGTAGATTGTTCTTTTTTCCAAACACTTATAACCAAATATTCTCTACTGGGGTGTAAAAGTTTAGTGTTGGGTCCTAACCAAGTGTGATTCATGTTTGTCATTTATTGTTTGGATACATAGATGGATAAATACACCTTGGACAATCTTTTATGGCTTATCACTTTATCATGTTAAATATGGTTAGGACACTGTAAATAACGTGGAATATGGGGGAGGGGGCTATCTGTGATGGTTATAGTCCTATATTTTTGCCCTGCCCTACTTTTGCCATCCAACAGGTCCTTTCTTTGTCCAGTTTTAAATGAACACTCTGCAGTAGGCAGCCGAGATATTAAAATAACTTCTTACTGATTAGTGTTATTATGTATTATGCAAGATTTTGGCAGAGTGTCAGAATGTACACTCCTCCAGTGATGGAAGGCCCCCTTAACCACATATTTGGCTTGGGTGGAGCTCAACTTAGTATTTTTTTTTATTGGTCACCCAATGGGCTCAGTAATAAGTAACTGAGAAGTTTGTGTTCATACAGAAGTGCCCTCATCTTGGCATAAAAAGCATTTTTAACCAAGCACTTTAACTAGAAAAGTGGCTCTCAGTCAGATATCTTGAGTCAACCTGGTAAAACTCAGCTTATTCATTAATATTCTTTGCACTGACTGAATACACACTTTGGGTTGTTTGTGGTGTTTGAATCTGGCCAACAGTCTCAATTTCCTCATGTAGCTTGTCCAAGACACACACAAAGTGTTCAGTTTCAGTCCAAGAGAAACTGTCCTATGTGACCCCGGAAATGCACTTCAGAAAGGCAACATTTGAGCATCTGATGTGGGTCAGCACTCTGCTGAACAGAACCAGATGTGTTGTTTTATCCCGTGTTAATCGCTCCTCCTGAGACCCACATATGGGTGTCTAGATGGGGGAAGGGTCACTGTAATGTGAGAACTGAAACCCTCAGGACCCCCTGAAATGCAGTCTGAAAGACATCAGTGTAATAGCCAAAGGAAATGCTTTTGTCATGCATTAGCTCTCTCGCTTCAAATTAGGTATGTTTGTTTTCTTCTAATGATTTAGGAGTTGGGTCATTAACTCTTTGTTTAGTATCTTCTCACTTACGTCTTTCTAAGCTATAGTGATCCCTCACAGACAACCTGGGCCCCAAGTACATAACACATTGATAAGAAATTAGGTGTCATCAGTGAATCAGGTGACTCAATGTTATGGTTAGCAGAAGTTTACTATCTACAAATCTATAATTTATTCATTTATTATCCAGAAATATTTACATGGTGACTACATGGCTCGATAAGGAATTATAGAATACATTTTTTATAACTTTTAAATGACAATGAGTGTACAAATATATAAAATTGCAAACAATGTAACATGTAAACAACAGTGCAATAAATTTGGCATCAGTTGAGGTTGAGACTTGCTGTACTCCTAGCAGTATGTGCACAAGTAATATGCATGTATCTTTTTATCAATACATTTGCATTCAGACGCAACATAGCATCACTTATGCGTCTGCTATGAAAATGTGTTGCCTTATTTGACACATCATTGAAGTACCATATTTGGCTGATAATCAAAAACAACATTTTGTAACACCACAACATAAGGTGTGTAATTTTTTGATGCACCAAGTGGAGTTGAAAAGTAATGGTTAGCCTACTTCCAAAAACATTTCGCAAATACTTCTGCTGCACCAGTTTACATGGTTGGGATTGACTTCTGCTACATTTTTTTCAAATGTGACCTGTGGACACCATTGTTAAAATCATTTTCAAAAACCATCAGTGAGATAGATACCAACACTAGATACTAACACCAACCACACTATTGAATACCAATAATCAATGGCAAATATCTATACTGTTGCATAATCAAAATCAATATTAGTGACAATATACCATTCATGAATAGAACTAATCAATTTGTTGTCTTCCTCATTCCATCAGTTTGGATTGATTTGCAGAAATAACTGGAGCTTTCTATTTGTGATCAACACAGAAATCTGAGATGAACTGACATTATCTCTTTTGCAAAGTGTTGTCTCTCTCAGCTATAAACTACATTGTGTCTGAGTGTCAACAGTGGTCCCAGCCACTGTGTACAGAAATGGCCCAGAAGGCCAGTGAGATAAGCGGGTGGCTGTAGACTGGTCTTTTATGCTAATGTAAACAATGACATACATTTATAAAAGTCGAACAATGTCATACATTTCTAAAAAAGATGTATAAACTGGAAAATGGTTGTTGACATGAAGGGTAAAATAATATGCATTGTCTGAGCATGTTCATGCGGCAGCAGCACAGGAAGTGAGTGTGATAAAGAAGATGCATATGATTTTAGTGATTAATTAGTGGTGTTTGCTAAGGCAAGTCTTGCTATTACTACTGCTTGTACTATTTCATCAACCATAAGCCTGAGTATTAAACTTTGGTGCATTTTTGTTCCACCCTGTTTATGCTAGAAACATGAATGATTGCTGAAATCATGGGGCTTATTAAGGAGAGGTGTGCTTACTTTGCTTCGCCTTAAGATTAAATTTTTTTGCCTGGTGAACAATAAGATTTGCAACCAAATCTCTTAGACTTCCATTAAATGAAAACTGAGCCATGTCAGAACCAGGAACCAATTGCATTGGAGAATAGAGATTGGAAAGTTTCCCAAGCAAAATGAATACCAGCAAGAATATTTCGGATTGAAAAATCTTCTAGATTGTGTATGTAGTCACATAAAGTACAAAGCATTGGTTGCTTCTCAAGTCAGTGGAAATGCAGGTTCACTTCCAAATCACCCCAACCAGGAGCTGGTACCAGTACCATTTTTGTGGAAAAGGGGTGTCAGAACATCTTGACCTTGGCAACCACCCAACACACCCAGGCATTGTGGAGCTAAGTTTTTAGTAAGAAATAAGAAGAATTTTAAACCAGATTTGTCAAGATTGTGGGAATGATTAAAGATGGTCTTAATTGGTTGTCTTTGGACATGTGATCACTCTGTTTCTGGCACATGGACCGCTGCAGCCTGGGTAGATCAAAAACAACATCCTCTTAAGTCTGGATCCCACAGATCAATGATAGGCACTGCAAGGTTTCTAATGATTTGTGATCTAAACTGTAAATATTTGCACACGAGGCGAATGTCCATCTCGCATTTGGTTATGAAAGAGATTACAGATTACAGATCTCCAGTGCTAAAT